GGAATTATAGGCCTTGTTCTGCTTGGTAGATGAAATTCTAATCCAGACTGAAAACAGGCTTGTTTCTCTAGTTAAAATCTTATTCTTATGTTGTTTCTATGTGTTTAGTGGGGCTGATAAAAATTATAGCAAGGAAAGAGATAAGTAATTTTTAATTTCCTCTGGGAACTGATTTTGAGATGTAAATGGAAAGAATTTCTGGAGAATGATTAATAGTTTTTAAAATTGGAATGGCTGGGGGTGGGGGAAAAGGTGGGATTCAGGTAATCACAGTGGGGTTAAGATTAGACCTCTTCCAAACTCAGAGAGCAGCATGGGAGTTTTCTGTGGTTTACCGTATAGAATTTGCTTTTCTATTCACTACGAACTGACTATGCAACAGTTTAGGCATCTAATGTGACCAAATCAGACAAAACAAAACAAAACGAAACGAAAATGAAAACAAAAGCCTGCCTCCTTGTGGACAAGGGTTATTTAAGCCTAATTTAGGTAAGAAGCAGAGGCTGTTTTTGTGTCAGAGGACAACTCTGTAGAGTTGGTTCTTTCTTTACACGGGCTCCAGGGGTCCAATCTGGTTTATCATCTTACATGACAAGCATGAGTGCTTTATGTCACCAGCTCTGAAAAAGGAAAACAGGGGCACTAAATGTAAATGAATAATGCGCCTAGACTAGTGGTCACGGCACTTTTCACGACTCTGAATATGAAAAGGGGCAGGGTTTCTCATTCTCTGGGAAAGACCTGCATTTGCCTCAAGTTAACGATCCAGTGACTATTCTTTTCAGTGTGCTGGGTATCTTAACAGGTAGGGTGATGGTTGGAGATGGGACCCAGGGAAACCGGTCCAAAGGCAAAAAGCAATTTGCACAAATCTTCTAGGAAGTATCTAAGAGGCCTCGGCTTCCAAATGGGAGTACATCAAACTGCTTGAGACTGGAGGAAGATGTTGATGACTCTCCAGCCAACGTCTGTCATTAAGTAAGGATCCCATGGGGTGAATAAAGACTTACTAAAGGCGAAAAAAATTCAGACATTTTCATAGCGTGGTGGGGTGGAGGGAGAAAAAAAAAGATGAGCTGGGCTATGTGGCCTAAACAATAAGACACAGCAGGGGCAACGTGGCGAACTCAAGACTGAGCTGGGCGACAGAGCAAGTCTGTCTCAAAAAAAAAAAACAAAACAAAATCCAACCCAAATCACAAAACGAAAGGATGGGCGAAAAGGGTGTAAAGTATTCAAGAGAGGTCGGTCAGAAAAATGGAAATATAGAAGCGGAGGATGCATATTTGCCAAATCTTTGCCCCTCCCCTAGGGAAGGGCGTACCCAAATTCCCTGTGGACAAAAGCTTCAGTCTCGCGTCTCGCCATTCGGCCCCGGCCCCCGCCTCGCCCCGGCCCCGGCCCGGCCCGGCCCCCCGCCCCACCCCCTCCCCGCCCACAGGCCGTCCTGGCTCACGACCCGCCTCCCCTTGGCTCCTCCCCCTCCCCGCCCCGGTAGTCCAGCTCTGGTAAAATAAGGCGGGACTTCCGGCGTTTGAAAAACTTCCGGCGGGAACCGGAAGATTCCTTAACAGAACTCCAGTCTACAGATTCGCCAAGCCGGAAGGTGAGCTTTGTGTTTGCCCTAGTGGCAGTGCTTCTGGCCAGCTGTTTTCGCGTCTCGGCCCCGGTATTTATGAGTGCTCGTTTGGGAAAGAACATTTTTAAAAATGAAGTTTCTCTACCTTTTAGTATAAGTGGTCTATTACACAGTCTACACCTGGAGAATCTCATAACTGTCACCTAGCGCGTTCTTTGATTGAACCAGCTGTTAGCTCATGGTAGACGTGAGGAAGCCAGGGGTACCTTGTTTTTATACCCCAAAGAGTCGAGCCTGAGGGGAAGAATCACTGTCAATCGTGGCGCTCGAAATCACGCGCCTTCAAAAGTGCCCTGGGCACAGGAGGCGCTCCAGCAGTGGACGAACAGGATAGATGAGAACTCTAAGCAACTTTCCTCAATCTTCCCACATGGCAGCTTGTCGTTAATAGATGCGAAGTAAGAAACAGGGATGGTTTTGATACTTGTGGCTCTTAGTTTTAGGACTTTGCCTTATCCCTCTACAGTTTGAGTAAACCATTACATCCCATTGAGTCTCAAGATTCTCGTTCATAAAATACATCAGGGCTTTCTCATAGCGAAGGCTGGCTGCTACTCTCCTGCTATATTGTTTGTTGTTGTTGTTTGTTTGTTTTCTTTTATCTCTTGAGGGTCTGCTGACATTTGAAGCGCCTTTTTTAATTCCCCCAGAGAAACATTTAGATGCCTCTTGAGTTGTCTCAATTTTCTCCTAGAACAGTGGTTCTCAACTGTGGGTTGAATAATCCTTTCACTGGAGTCAAATATCAGATATCCTACGTATCAGACATTTATGATTCATAACAGTAGCAAAATTACAGTTATGAAGCAGCAGCGAAAATATTTATATGGTTGGGGTCATCACAATGTGGTGATTAGGAGTCTTCAACATTAGGAAGGTTGAGAACTACTGCCCTAGAAGTTTAAATGCTGTTTCCCCTTTTTAAATATTGGTGTGTGTGTGTGTGTGTGTGTGTAAATGGTGTTTTCTTCCTAGTTTATAGTGCCTACTCAGTAACATCATAGCAACCTCTAAAAACGATTGTTTATTTTTGTAGTTTTCTGTTTGATGATTATGGACTTCAGTTGACTGAGATACCTTAAGTTGTACAGAGCCGGATCTTGGTCGGAGGTGGTCTGATCGTACTGTGTGTTGTAGATTGGGGTGATTAGAGTGGTTGTAAGGTGAGCATGGGAAGGTTGTTTGATGGGGAGCTTGACTCCTTCAGATTTTCTTTTCCCCACTGTTTCCTTTTTGTGGCAGGGCCTTAGGTAGCACAAGCCTCTTGTGCTCTGGGATTAAAGATGTGTGCCACCACACCCAGATTGTTTGTTTTTGAGACAAAGTCTGTTTGGTATACCAGGGTGACTTTGAACTCACCATGTAGCTGAGAGCAACCCTAAGCTCTTAATCCTTCTGCCTCCACCTCACAAATGCTGCCCTGCCACTTCTGGTTTCTAAGGTGCTAGGGATCAAACTCAGGATTCCATGCATGCCAGGCTAGCACTCTCCCAGCTGACCTGTATCTCTGCTCCTGACTGGTGACTGGGGTTTTAGCATTCAGTTTGATTGGGTTCTATGTATACAGTTGCATTTAATGTCTTCTAGTCTACTGACTCTGTTCTGAGAAATAAACCTCTAGACTTTTTGTGGGTTTGGTGCCTTGTAACATGTGGGATAGAGCACCTAGAAAGATCCTTTTGTGACAGAGTGTACCCAACCTGAGATCCCTCAACCTTGGTCCTAAAGATTTTAGTAGTCACTTTTGTTGTCCACCTGTCCTTTCTTTTCATTCATTTTGTTCATCTGCCTGTCCTTTCTTGTCTTTCCTAACTTAAAACAAAAATTAAGGAGACTGAGGATAAATTTACTTGCTTCTCAAATGCCCAAGTTACTGGCTTGGGACTTTAATTTTTACCTACATGTGTTAATTTTTTTACTGTGAGTTTTGAGTCATGGCTAGGGACAGCTGCATGTTCTCCTCTTATTCAACATTCTGAAGACGGTGCACCTTTGCTTTCTATAGAACTTCTAAAATTTTGTTTTGTGTAGTTTAAATCTTACTTAGAACATGGTTTGCTCTGAGGCAGGCCTTGGGGGTTAAATCACTTGCTTTCCTTTAGAGGAGTAGCTAATTGTCTCTCTCCCTTTTACAGAATGAAGGCAAGTTCTTCTCTGACCTGGTTTGAGTTGGCACTGTGTCAAACACACCAACTTCTTATCTATTTGCTAATGTATCTCTATATAGGATCTTACTATGTAGACCAACCTGGCTGGAACTCTTAGAGACCCTCCTGCTACTCCCTCCCTAATGTTAGCATTAAAGAAAGGTGTGCCACACTCCTGTTCAGCCCTCTTTTTACATTTTATTTTTATTATGGTAAACTGTTGTAGAAAATCATATTTTCCTGTTCCCATAACTTTAGGAATTCCTAATAGAGGGTGAAGAGAGAGTACCTGTCTTGTCTGCTGCTAAGAAACTGTTCTGCTGGCCTCTGTTTCCTTCTAAACATGCTTTCCCCCAGTTTTGCACTCACAGGACAGGGATACTGGGAAATCAGGCTCCTCTTTGTGACAACTGTCTTAGTGTTTCTCTGAGGTGTTACCTCCTCCTCTTATAAGTGTGTTAGAACCAAGGTTTACAATTTCCTCTGCTCCTGAGACTTATTCCAGACATGCCAATCTAATGCATTTTTTTATTGGTTTGGCAAATATTCTTTAGGTAATAAATGTTATCATTTTAGGTAAATTTATTTACTTACTGTATTATGTGATTCCTCTTGTCATTTGTCGTAATTTTTTTAAGTGCTGAGCCTTTGAATATGGTAAATATGTTTAACGACATAGTGGCTAATCATATTGCAAGAAGATGTTTGATTTGCTTTAGGTATATAAATTATTCCTAAAAAACTACTTACTAAACCGATTGGCATTTGATTGACTCCTATCTTTGTGAAGACATTTCTACTTTAATGTTATGAGAAGATATGAAAGAGAAAAAATATTTCTTATATTTGAGAAATAGTACAATAGATGACTTTATAATTTGTTGACTGGCAGGATCACTATAAATAATACTTGCAGAATACTCTAACCTTTAGTTCTAAAGCAAACTTATCGCCCTGGAGGATCTTGTCTTTTTCAAGTGACAGTGTCATAAGGTATTTAAGACATTGGAAGGCCCTGGGTCCTCTTCTGATCAGCAGACTATATCCTCTGGGGAGCCAGTGTTTGGGCTTGCGAATATTTTTCTCTCTCTATGGCGTTTGTGACAGCAAAGCTTTGAAATGTTAGTTTTGAATGGAGAATCATTTTGTAGCCAGATGAAGTGATAAAACTATTCATGTCCTGCTGACTTGGCTTTGTGTTACATTTCTTCCAGATGCCCTCATTGCGCAGAAGAACAAAAATAGAGGCTGAGAATGCAGAACCCAAAGACGAGTGTTCTTTCTTCTCTGAGTTGTAAGCATATTAGTATAATATGTTGTCGGGGGAATGGTGACTATTTTAAGAGTAATGTGGTCTGTCCCTTAGAAACTTAAGTCATTTGGATCGATGAAATGTGTCTCCTTGTCATTTCTCTATATAAGAACTCTCTGTTATACTTGTGCCGTGATCTGGGAGAGAGAAAGCAGCTAATGGATTATGTAATGTTTACCTTGCACAGGTGAGAGTAAGCAAACTGTTGTTTACACTGCTTTAGAGCAGAGCTCTTTCTTTTTAATGATTTTTTTTTTCATTTCATTTCATTGATGTTTTGTCTTAATGTCTGTGTGAGTGTGTTGGAACTTGAGTTACAGATGGTTGTGAGCTGCCATATTGGTGCTGGGAATTGAACCCAGGTCCTCTGGAAGAGCAGCCGGTGTTCTTACCTGCTGAGCCATCTCTACAGCCCCTAGAGTAGCTCTTAACTCATACATACTGCTATTGTGTGTAGGGTCACCTTTTGTTTTGGGGGCTGCCTGATGCTTTATAGGACATTTAGTGGCATCTGTGGCCTCTACTAAATGTGGCAATAGTGCTTGATGTGACAATCAAAAATGTCTTTAGACATTGCCAAATGTCCCAGGGGCTCAAAATTATCCTCAGTTGAAACTTTGTGCTATAGAGTACCATATTACATATGCCTCTGACATTTATTCAAAAAACCAAGTGATTAATTTTAGTCCATAATAGTAGTATAAGATAAAATCACAGCAGGTCAGGGATTAGGGAGTGTGCTGTATGGTTGTGGTAGAGGAGCGTTTTGGATAGAGCAGTCACAGTGTTCTTTGCCAAGAGATCCATTTGAGAGTTGCTAGTTGCTGTAGTTTGGATAATTGTCCTGAAAAGAGCATTACCATGGTAGTGCTTTTTGGAGGTGGTGGGAGGATGTTTAAGAGTTGGGGGCTGGTCTAAGGCTCTTAGGTCACTGCAGGCAAGCCCTCCAAGAGAATTGTAGCACCCTGGCCTGTCTTCTCTTTGTTCCTGCCTCAAGATGTGAATGTGTTTCAGCACAAACTCCTGCCTTTGCCACCTTCTGTCTTCATCAGAAGCTCAAGCCAATGGAGCCAACTTATTTTGGAACCGAACCTCTAAGATAGATAAGCCATTTATTAAATTAAAATATGTCAGTGTATGTCAGTATAGTGACCGAAAGGTCACAAATAAGAACTTAGATTACTTTACAAATAAAAAAACCCAACAATACACAGACCCGGAGGCAGCAGTGAATTGTGTTTGGGGAGTAGCAAGAGCAGCAGGGCCAGATTGGAGCCAGAATGTCAGAGTGACTGGAAATAAGACTGGAATTGGTGGGACCTCAGACTCTATGAGGAAGTGCTTGAGCTTCATTAGAAGTAAGTTGGGAAGCCACTGGAGTGGTGTGGACAGTGATCTGACCTGATCTGGCTTATATCTGTAAAATAACCTTTATGGTTTCTTGGTGTGACTCAAGTGTGAGGTGAAGGAGAGAGGTTGGTGTAGGAGAACGGTGAGAACCAGTCCAGTTTGAATAGGTTACTGAGGGTAGAGTAGGAAGGATGTGGTGGTGCTTATGGGCTTTCTGTAGACCAGAGGAATAGACAGGAGCTGTAGAACCAAGAGGTCTGTTTTGTCATTGTCAAGTTGGTGGTGATTGCTAGACATCTAGCTGAACACAGATCTGCACATGTAAAGTGGAGACTTACAGGGTAAGACATGAACTAGAGAGAGTCCTGAGGACTAAGACTCTGGGGATGTCAACAGTTTGAGGTTGGGGAGAGAAGGAGGTCAAGAGGATTCAAGAGAGGCATATGGAAGATGCACTGTATAGGATGAGTGCCAGGCACTGCTGATGCTTTCCTGGGATGGGGGAATGAGCCACTTCCTGTGTGACAGGTGATTTCAGGTGCTTTCATTATTATGGAAAACAAAACAAAACCCTGTACTTTTTAGCAACATACCCATGTAAACTACAGTTACTTAGCTGTCCTGCTGGATGGGTGATTAGACAGTTGGGTAGGAAATTGTCCTGTTCAGTTGACAGTAGGAGGGGACCCTAAGTTCCTCTATCTTCTCCTTGCCTTTTCCTTTATCCCCTTCCCCTTCTTTCTTCTTCCACTTTTATCTTTCCCTTTTCTCCCCTTTCCTTTATTCTCTTTCCTTCCCCTTCTCTGCATGCATGCATGTGTGTGTGTGTGTGTGTGTGTGTGTGTGTGTGTGTGCATGTGTGTGCACGCGCACAAGCGCATGTGTATATGTAGGGTAGGGGTAAACATGGTCAGAACTTGTGATCCTCCTGCCCTCAGACTCCCAAGTACTCCAAGGAATATCTGGTAGAACACAGGTTTTTAGATTATAGTTCCCTTTGAATCACTGTTTTAGTGATTTTGATTTGATTTTGTTTTGCTTAGTCTCAGGCTGCTTACCAACCTCTGAAAAGAACTCTTTGATGCTGTCTGTGGTTTGTCCCGCCATCATTATGTTTTCTTGGAACATAATTTAGCTGAAAAATCATCCAGTCTGTTTCTTGCCTCTCGGCAGAACTGAAACCATTCAGAAACTCAGACAGTCTCATTGATTAAACTCAGGTCCTTTTTCCCACGTACTGACCTCCTTAGGGAAGAGAAATAGAGTGAACCAGATGGGCTGGAGGGCTGTGCTTTCTCTGCTCATGAAGTGAGTTTGATTCTTGGTTAGAAAAGCAGTGTAGCTTTTCAGTCTATTCAGGGCACAGATCTATGTGAAAGGAAAAGGAGGTCAATAAAATAACTGAGGGTCTTGGTGCTGACTTTTTTTTATGCAGTGTGAGGTATTTAAAAAGCTCTTTTTCAGTCCTTTTATTTGTTTAAATAACTTAGTACATTTTAAATGGAGTTGATTGGCATTTAGGAACTTAAGTGCTTTTTAAGACTGAAATGCTCACAATGGTGTGACATGACCCAGTAAGTTACTTAAGGTAATGATCGATTTTCTGTGTCATGACAGTGTGTATTATGCTTGTCAGGTCAGGGAAAAGAGAGTAGACCTGTGAATAGTGTGTGTGGTAGGGAGAAGGCACTTCTTTGGGTCCCCGATCACCTGTTCAATTCTTAGTACTAATTGTTTATAGCCTGTGGTCCTATCACTCCATTTTGTATTACACATTTCCAGCTATTTATGAAACATGTGTCTCTTTTTACCTTTGTCATCTAGTTTCATTCATTATTCCTGTAAGTTCTTCTGTCAATTCACTTCTAGGTCATCTGGCTCTGAAGAAGATAACAAGGAAGATAGCATTTGGGAACCTCAGAAGAAAGTCACCAGAAGACAGTTGGCTTCCAAGGGATCCAAACGGAAGCAGGGGCCTAGGGTGAAGAAGAGCTCCCAACAGGTGGATGACATATCAAAAGATGTGGCTGTTAAGGAGGAGTTGGTAGGTTGTGTTGCTCTCTAGATGTGGGGAAGGCCCAGTGTTTTCCACATCGGACAACTGTTTCTTTCTCCTTACACTGAGTAGGACAGAACATGTAAATGACACAAACTTGAAGGCACTGGTATCCCCGTCACAGTCTCAGGAATACATAACTACTGCAGCAGCTGTTTCTTCAGTTACTTCTCTCTAACCTAACGAGGTGGGTTAGGTGTGGAAGTGGTGGTTTGGATGATGGTGTCAGCAAATATCTGTGTGTATTGTTAGCTAGGAGCACATTCAGCATTTCCCCCTGAAAATCTTGCAGGATGGGTCCAGCCACTGACAGTGCTGTAGTTACCATCCTGATTTTACAGATAAGAAAGCTGAGGCAGGGAGTGTTAAGTGACACTCCTGGAACACAGATAGTGAGTGATAGTGCTGGGCTTCCAAGTCAGCAGTTCGAGACCCAATAGACCTCTCAGGGGTACTTTATAAAAGTAAACCATGCTTGCAAGAGTGATTTGTATACACAGAGTGCTGGTTTAATAATTCATACTTAGAAGCAGTCATCATGAGCACTTGAAGCTCTTACGGGCAGCACTTTTCTTCTTGGAGGCCGAAGCAGGAAATTAAATAGTTAGAAACTTGCTTGATGAGCATGGGCTGAGAATAGGAATTAGACAAATGAATTTGGGTTTATTGATTGCCTCCTGTGGTCTTGGCTGTGATCATCACAGTGACACTTGCAGGTTATAATTGTGTGGAGTTAAGGTAGGCTGAAGCAGCTATCTCCCAGCAGGCTCTCTTGTCACTGGGGCTGAAACACTCAGTCTATTTGTTGATTTTCCTTTGCCTCATTATAGGTAGAAGAATGCTGATCATACTTGGTCTTTTGTGGATTCCTTTCCTGTCTCTTCGACAGCTTCCTTTACGATGGACACATTCCTCAGTTATGCCAGTTCATTTGATTGAGTTGTGAATTGTAGACTCAGCCATTGTATCTTCTTGTCTCTGCTTGGATCCATTATGTTTGGGTGCAGGTGTATGCTTAGAGGCTGTTACTGTGCATTTCAGGTACATGTGTGGTAGTTGGTGTTGAGCTAGAAGGGTCCTTACTGTGAGCTCCAGTGCTCATCCTCACTCATTCTGGAAACTGAAACATTGACTGAAACATTGTTGGGAACTGTGTTTATGGCATCTGTGTCACTTGAGTGAGGGACAAGCCAGCCTATGACTGTAAACTTCTCAGGGCAGCTCTTTGCATTATTGCCACTATGCCGAGATGAGTGTCAGGTAAAGTGACATTGGTAAAGAGCAGAGATTGCTTCCTGGGTACTTGTGTAGGCTCCTCTCAAAGAAAAGGATGCTAGCATGGTGCCATACACCTGTTATCCTAGCACTTGGGAAGCTGAGGTAGGAGAATTGCTCTGAGTTCAAAGTTAGTCTGGGCTCCATAATGAGTTCTAGGTAGCCAGTGCTATAGCGTGAGATCCAATCTCAAAAAGCAGAATGAAAGAAAACTTCTTGCCTTTGGCTTCTGTTGCTGTTTCCAGTCCTCTGCCTCCTGTCTGAGCAGGTGGTAGTGTAGCCTTCTGAATTTCACAAGTGTGTGGGTGCTTTTCTTCTCCCTCTAATTGGTTGGCTTTGGTGTTTATATTTGTTTATCAATTTCTGAATTTATTTAAACAAGTCAGTTTATTTATATTCTTAAGTCAGGACTCATGTGACTGAGGGTGGCCTGACTTTCTAGCCCTCTTGCCCCCACCTTCCAAGTTCTGGGATTACAGGCGTGAGTCACCATGCCTGGCTACCATGAGGTGCTGGGGACCAGACCAGGGCTTTGCACCTGCTAAGCGTGTGTGCTGGGCAAGCCCACTCTCTTAATTATGCTGCATCTCCAGCCATGGCTATAGCTTAATCTTGTTTTTCTGGCTCACGTTGATGCATCATTTGCTTCATTTTGTGAAATTAAACTTTATTTATAAGTCATCCATATGCAATTATAAGACACATCAGGAGGAATTCCAGGTACCTTTTGTTTAGTTTTCTCCAATGGTAAGATTGTAGTGTCTCATGTAAGTATAGTAAAATATAGTTTTCAGGATATGAACATTGGTAAAATCCTCTGTTCATTTGGAGTGCTCTGGCTTTCCATGTGTTTATTTGTGTGTGGGTATTTGTATTCAGCACTGTGCAGTTTTATTACACGTGTGGCTTTGTGTGGCCATCACAAGGATCTCTGACATTGCCCTTGTTTACCCACATCTCCTTCCACCATCTCTGCTTCAGGCGAGCTCTGCTGTGCCAGGATAGTTATGGAAATATGCTCATATTGTGTGTAACTTTGGGATGGGGCTGTCTCAACATAGTTCCTTTGCGATTCATTCACGTTGTTGCATGTATTGATAATTTGTTCTTTTTCACTTCTGAGCAGCATATCAGGGCAGTTGGTTTCTAATTTTGTAATTCTCATGCTTTCTCTTTGTGACTTTATAGAACAGCCCAGTGGCTATTGTTGATGTTGATTTGGAAGAGAAAAATCACAAGTTGCGTACGACAAAGACTCTGAAAACTGCAGCAAAAAAGCAAAAAAACCCAGGCCAGACGGCTGTAAAAAGGTTGAAAGTTGATGAGGAAACCAGCCAAGCCAGCCCCTTTGAGGGTAGAGGCAGTAATGTGGAGACCCCCTCAACAAGCGTGTGTGGAGATGTGTGTAAGAAGGAGGAGATCGAGGACAACTTCACGTTTGAGCAGTCCCCGGTAAAGAGGATGAAGACTGAGTCACATCCTCAGGGGAGGCCCGCCAGGCTTCCCGGTGCCAGCGACGTGAAGGAGGAGGTGGAGATGAACTGGGACATGGTGCAGGTGAGTGCTCTCTGGCTCACCAGGGGATGCTCTGACCATGTTGAAGTTTCAGTTAGCCAGTGATTTCTCCAATCAAGCTTTGGCAACTGTTTCTTTTTTTGTCTGTACTATTTGTAGTCTGACTTATCATCATCAACCTGCTGGTGTGAGCTGTCTCCTCCATCAAGAAAGGTGGTTGTTTCTGTACATCACAGTGTAGATATTTCACACCAGAAGATGGGCTCAATGCTACAGTTTAATTTTGAGTTCGGATTATATTTCTCCATAAAAGCAGTATACATGATTAGGTCATTGGCTGTTTGTGCATCAGGTATATTAGGAACAAGACCCAGGAGTGTTTCGAAGACAAATTCTTTAAGAATTCTAACTTGATGATCTTTCCTAGCTTTCCTTTTCTTTCCCTCTGCCCACCTACCTTTTTCACTGCCTTAGGGTATGATAGAGGAGACTAGAAGGCTGGTCATGAGCAGTGAGCCTTAACCTTGTGTGCTCCAACACGTTCTGGGCCATTTCAGGCTACATGGGTGTGGCCTTCCACCTTATTTGTCCTATCCTTTGTTATAAGTCACTGCTGTAGAGCCCAGGACTTCTAGGGGTTCTAAGACTGGGGCTTGTAACATCTTTGTTGTTCAGAGGGTCCTGTTTTGGGTCATGCTGCTTTGTTTGTTACCTACAGCTTGTTATCAGTAGTTTTGAGTCATTATGTTTCTTCTCGTTGGCATACTAAGGAATCTAGAATGCTGTCTTATAGCTCTCTCTCTCTCTCTTTTTTTTTTTTTTTAAATGCAGAGAGTCATTGAGAAACAGTGTAAATTGTAGTGAGAGTTCTGGAATTTTGGTTTCTTTAAAAAACACAGGAATGTTATAAGACTTTGTTTTTGGGTTAATCCCAGGTGTGGGATGGGGCTCCCGCAGATTGTCTGCAGCAGCTGACTGTAACTTGTCTCGTGCACTAGCCAAGGCATGGTTTTGCCAACTGTAAATAATTTCTGCAATCATGTGACATTTGGAATTCTGGGAACTTTTCAGGGAGTATATAAATGCTAGATCCCTGCTAGGTGAGGTTGGGTTTTGGTCGTTTAGAGAGGTTGGTTGTGCTTTGTTGTTAGCAGTCCTGTTCAAAGAAGAAACAAAGGAAAGAAAATAGATTCAGGGATCTCTCTCTCCTCCTCTCCCCCCAATCCTTCTTTCTCTCCCATCACTAGTGATAGAGGGTAAAACTGCAGTGGGAAATGGGGTGATAAAAAGAAGAACCCGCAAAGTACAAAGACCATCCACAGTAAATGGCTATCTAAGTCTTCCTTTGCTTTATTCATTCAGATCTAGAAGGCAGTGCTTTCATAGAACAGGCAGGTCATAAACTACCGACAGGGAAGTCACTCTCAAGACTCTAACCTTCATCCTTGGTCCAGAGCTACAAGGCAGTGGGCGTGCCCACTCTCTTGCTCTGCCCTTTGTTAGTGCTGCTAGCTTAACATTACCAAGGTAGGTACCTCTGGCAACTGGCAGTTTACAGGAGGAAAGAGAGGAGGGTTTCAAAGTCTTTGAAACCTTCTGAGCTTCCAGACATGACGAGTCTTTTACTGTGAAGGGCTGCCTCCTCCAGACACTTTGCTTTATGTTCTACCCTCCTCTCTTTGTCATGGGAGAAGAGAGGAATAAAGCCCAACCCTGTTGAAGTAATTAATTAAAACGGTCTCTGGTGATGTGACCATGTAACTGCGGTGGCTCTGCTTAGCCCAGCCGCCATGTTTCTTGGCCGGAGCGCAGCTAGAAATGGCCAACTGGAAACACCAGCCCTGCCACCCACGAGACATCAGTGTGGGAGATGGCTCTGCCAATCTTCCATGCTGTCTCCGCAAGGCTGGGCATTGCCCAGACCATCTTGCCATCCACACGGGCCAGGTAGAAAAAAGTGAGTGCTTAAAGATTAATCAAAGGCTTTATATGTTTGGTAATGCTCAATAACAACATGTCCATACAAAGAGAGTTGTTTCCCAATTAGCTAACTTAAATAAAAGTTGTTCCCCACGAGTGCTCTCCATACCTGCGTGGCTCTCCATTGCTCCTACATCTCTGCCCTCTCTCGCTCCTTTTTCCTCTTCCTCTCCTAACTCCTCCCACCTTAGCTCCTCCTACACAACCCTAGCTGGTTTTCTCCAGATTACAAGGGATACAAGGGAAAAAAACTTTTTAAAAATAGTGTTACATTTGTTTAGCCTGTTTGTGTGTGTGTGGGGGGGAGTGGGCAGGGGAGGTTCTGTGGTTGTGTAAGCCAGGGTTGAGCTTTAGGTGAGAGCAAGTTTCCTTAAGGTAGACAAGAGACAGCTGTGAAGAATGTAAGGTTATGAATCTTGGGATGCCTGGGCTCATAGGCGTTTACAGGTCTGTACCTGCTGAAAGGTAATACTGTTTGCTGTTCATTTACAGTTGACTCTAGGACCTAGGCTCCATAGCACACACATTAATGTCTTTATCTGTTATGGTTCATTTGAAGAAATAAATGGGTAATCTAAAAATATAATCAGGAGAGTAGATAGAAGCATTCTTGTTTTCCTAGTAACACATCCAGTTCTCTTTACAAATTTCTGACAGCTACTTCAGTATAGAATCCTATAGGTTGGATCCTTCCTATGGCCCTGCTAACCTCCATGCCTTGGTCTTCTGTTCTTCTGTTGAGGTTAGCTTTTCAGGGATCTCACCATCTTGTGTGAAGAGGGCAAACTGCATAGCCACGATTGATTAGTGTTTAGTCTTTACCTACGAACATAGTTTGTGTGTAATTCCTGACCAATGACTGAGGACCACTCTCTTGAGCGGAAGAAATGTACCCATTTTCATCTGTCTCCCAACTGTGAACATATGGTTGCTATGGGAAGTTTGTCTTTGTTAACACCCCTGATGTCCCATGTAATTATGTTAGTAAGAACTGAAAAGTGAGTAGCACAGTCAGTTGGGATTAAACCATGCCAAAGTTGTGATTGCTGTGATATGGTTTCTTTATTTTAAGGGTGAGCCTGGGCAGGTGCAGTGGCTCTGTGGGTCTTAAAATCTTTCTAAATTAGGGAGAAAAGCAAGCAGAGCCTTTTTGTTAGCTCTTTCCCTTTGTTTCGAGAGACAGTAAGAGACGATGTAGGATGTAGGTAAGTAGCTGTGCCTGGGGAAGGCAGCAATTGGAACAAAGTGGAAAGGGAGCCAGTGTCTGAGCTAGCAGCCTCACTGCCACTCTGCACTGTTTAGATGCAGCCTGTTTGCTCTGGGAAACCTTAACTAGATTAAAACTGTTTTTTTTTTTCTTTTCCTCCTTCTCTTCTTCCTCCTCCTGCTCCTCCTCTTGTCTTCCTCCTCCTCCTCCTCTTCCTCTTCTTCTTCCTTCTCCTCTTCCTCCTCCTCCTTCTTTTTCTCCCCACCTGGTTGGTAGAGTTTGCTAGAGGCTTTAAGCCATCAGCCAACTGTGATGTATTTCATACGTATATGCAATTGCCCAGGAGGTTCAAAAGTGTAATCAAACAACTTCTGGGCTGTGAGTGAACAACAGTATCCCCCTTCAGACTCCTTTCAATCCTCCCTTTCCTCTTTTGTAACCTCTTTTCTGATTTCTAGCAGTGTATATTAATTGTTCCCACTCCTGTCTTTACATTTACATAAGTGTTTTATGTGACATAGTGACATAATCAACTCTTTGGGTCAGGTGGTAAACAGAATCAGCAACTTTTCAAAAGGGAGCTGTTCAAGTGGCTGGCTTGGGAATGATTCTGACTGAATAGAAAATTCTCTTATTTTTATTCATTAATGAGTCATTGAACTTGAGGTTAGCTCTTTAAAGTGCAGATGCTGCTGGGTGATTAGAGTTGCAGTGGATTTGCTGATGCCCAGATGTTTTCTTTCTCCCTGAATAGAGGGGAGTTTCCCATGTAAGAGATCTCGGGGCACTGGGGACAAGAAGGCATCTTTCTGGATGTTTCCAACAGCTAGAGGGCAGCATGAAAGCACTGTGCCCAGAAAAGAGGAGACAATTTAAGTACTTTGTACTTTTGCCTGATAAATCTTTTGCTTTGCTTAGAAATTGAATTTTTGAGGGGGTAATATGGCTAGTGGAACTAGAGATAGTCTACTTCTTGAGCTCAAGTTTTTGTGTGTATAAAATGAGAATAATGTTAGCTTCTATCTCACGTAATTTAAATGAGTCAATGCTGAGCATGATAAGCCTTTTACATGTGTTATCATAAAGTTAAAAAACTCTACATTAAAATTGCTATGGAATTTCTCCCTGGGTCCCCTCCCTCTCTCTGTAGTTCTTTCTTACTTTCCCTTAGTAAATATATATCTGCTTTACTTAAGTAAATGAATAAGTAAATGTGTAAATAAATAAGTAATTGATGTGAATACTGTGATAGTAAAGACCTCAATTTTCCTGCTCTGCCTGTCTACGTCCTTTAGGGTTGCTCTCTACTGTTTTGTTGTATTTGCCTTTTTCCCTAAGACAGGGAGGCCAGGCCTTACGTAGAGTTTTTGGGTCAGTGTATGTTATGTGGGGCCTAATAACATGCAGTTTTGTCAAGGCCGTAGCTGATGCTTATGCTGTTGCTCTGAGGACCACAGACTGAACTACCGGCATAGCCCACAGAGCTCTGAAAGTTAGCATATGCAAGTTGATTCAGCAGCAGGACTGGAGCAACGGGAGGTCAGGTTTTGACTGGCTTCTTTCCCAGTTAGCTTTTTGGAAAGAAGGTTTGTATTTTATTTATTGATTTATCTGTGCTACTGAGAATTACACCCAGGGCCTTATATAGACTAAGCAAACACTTTACTACTTTACCACTGAGCTGTTCCTCATTCCTGGGACTTTTTTTTTTTTTTTTAAATGTCTTGATCATCACCGGATTAGCATAGCTTAAGATGTCTTTTGAGTTAGGGTCTAAGAAAACCGTCATGTTCAACAATGAAGACTGGCAGGCAGCTCATGGCTAAAGGATGTGGTGAGCTTCAGAGAATAATTGAGAAAGCCTGGATTATCAAGGAAAAATGGTTAGAGTGGGGGCAGTATGCCTAGGGTTTGAGAAAAAGACATAGAAAGAAAGGAAAAGTTATGCTTTCAGAACTGGAAAAATGCTTAGCAGGGAGGTCTGCAAGTTAGTACATCAGGATCGGAGCTTTGAAGATGGGCAAGTATGTTGTCTTATTAAGGAGATAATTATTCCTCCATCTCTTTCCATGTTTCCAGGGAAATCAGCTTTTCTGGGGATTGGGGAGTGGATTCCTATCAGATGATTGACAGGGCGAGCTGAGTTAGCTCTCCATGGAAGAAATAACAGTGTGCAATGGTCGAATCCATAGAAGAAATGGCAGTATGCAGGGTCGAATCCATGGAAGAAACAACAGTATGCAATGGTCTAATTGTTTGAGGAGATGAGATCATATTTCCCAGGGCCAGAGGTATTCTGTTCTTTCAGCCAGGAGGCCTAACGAGGGAAAGTTGTGCCAGGTCAATGGGAGGTAGCTCCCCTGTCAACCATGAGGGAAGGGTCTGCCCTCAATGGCTTCCAATGCTGCTAACTTTTATTTAACTGTCTAACAGAGTTTGAATTCCAGGTGCCATGGGATATTAGTGATGGTTTTGACCAATTAAATTATATGATCAAAAAGTCTACATTTTGAAAACAATGTTTACAGTGCTCCTTATGAGACTGGAGCACCTTCAGGGAGAGCAGCTAAAGGCTCCCTCAGTGATGTAGGCTAGAATGAGGCTGTGCTGTGGGGATGGGAGAAAGGAAGAGAGTAAAGACATATTTTATAATTGGAGTTGACCAGAGTTAAGAATTGGAGGTGAATGGCTTTTCTAGTTTGAATTACTATTTGAATAGATAGCACATGAGGAGAGTGGAGGATGAGTAAGTTTGACAGAAACTTCACTTAACAGGGTTGAGATAACCACTAGTTTTCTGGGAGATTGTCCTAAATAATTGTCCATGGGTCTGGTGGTAATGTGGAGAAGAGCCAGGCCTAGAGAGAGTTTAGCTGTTTACAGCATCTGTTGTTTTGAAACAATTCTGATATTTTGGCCTGATTTTCAGTAATCAGTTGATGATGATAATTTTGGATAGGATCTTATTTCATAGCTCCGGCTGGCCTCAGACTCTTGGTAGTCCTCCTGTTTCAGCCTTCAAAGGGTTGGGATTACGGGCATCAGGATCTTGAATCGTTGTTTATCCTTCTTTGCAGGTTTTATCTGAGAGAACTAATATTGAACCTTGGGTTTGTGCCAACATTATCCGCCTCTTTAATGATGACAACACAATCCCCTTTGTTGTACGCTATCGAAAAGAGCTCATTAATAACCTTGATGCTGATTTCTTAAGAGAAGTTCGTCAAACCCTAGATGAGCTACGGTAAGAAACCTGAGCAGGGGGTGGATGTCATATAGGAGACAGACTGTGGGCTCTTACTGGAAACAAGGACACAAATGAGTAGCTGTTTGCACAGTTCTGGTGCTTTGTGTCTTCTCATTGCTGTCATCTGAATGCAGTCTTCTTCTGCCAGGAAGAGTCAGGTCTGTCTGCTGTGTCCCTCTGCTACATGCTTAGCCTGACCATGTATCTATAGGTCTTGACCATCTTTTCTTTTTTTTCCCCCCATTGAAAAGATTAGATATAATGGCAGAATCAGGATGGCCAACAGGAAACTAAAACTGTTGGTCTAAGCCTTCAACAGTGTCCTCTTACCACTCCACAGTCCACAAATGGAGAGTTCTTGCCAGTATAGCTGGTCTTCAACATACAGTGGAGTGACTTAGTTTTGCAGCTTCATGGTATTCAAACCATAAGCATTCAGTAGAAACTCTCCTTTGAATATTTTGAGTTTTATTTTTTATCCTGGGCAAGGAGGATGCTATATGACTCTTATGATACTGCTGCCAGTCAGCCATGTGATCATGAAGGCTATGATAACTGTATTGCTGGTGATTTTATCTTGATTTCTTCTTCTATTGCTATGATAAATGCTCCAACAAAAGCAACTTAAGGGAGAAAGGACTTATTTTGCTCCCAATTCCAGGTTATAGCCCATTACTGTAGGGAAATCAAAGCAGCAGAGACTTGAAGTAGACAGCCTTGGATTAATGTATACATGCTCCTCCTTAATACGTGTATGAGTGTATACATAGTCCTCCTTCATGCGGCCTGAATCAGTACCATTGCTGGGCAGATTTCGTAAATAAGAACAGGTGATGAGATCAGATGTCATGTGTGATGCGGACAGCAGGATTGCATACTCACAATGAAAAATAATTGTTGAAAACTAGAAGAACTGCTGTGCCTGCCCCTCCCTTGCTGTGCCTGTCCCTCCCCTGCTGTGCCTGCCCCTCCCCTGCTGTGCCTGCCCCTCCTCTGCTGT